CGGTGCAGTTTTGAGTCCACCCGGTGTGCGCAACATTTAGTGGCATCCCGGCGGTGCAGTTTTGAGTCCATCCGGTGCTCCCAAATGATTGATAATTTCTCATACCGAGCGCTTCCTGGGCATAACGCGCGGCATACCATCCTAGAATAGCTTGCTTCCTGCCCTATAATACAGTCTCGGTTCTTTAATTACCTTCAAAATTAGACCAAACTGTAAAGTTTCCTCATTTATTCATACCTACCCTGATCGTGCTGATCAATCCACCCACTAAACGGGTGGCAGGACATGCGATCGCTGAAGTCCGTTACCACAAGTGCGGCCGCCCCGGGGTTCAACGTATACCCCGATGACGTCACACAGGGATCTTTGCTGAGAAGTGCGTAGTCCGGACGATACCACCTGATACAAATCGTCATTTCCAAGGCGCTTTGTTATTCCTATCACATTTTTGGTTTTGACAGCTGTTGCGCGTTTGATCCGCGAAAAGCGCAGTGCTCCATTCATCCCATTGATCACTGATATTGATCGTGATTTGTGAGGTGTGTCTTGTGCATAAAACGAGAAAGGTTGCGAGCTCTTTCAAGCAGTTTACCTGTTTTAAGCTATCAAATATGTGATCCGAAGATACTTAATTATTTGGAACGTTACATGTCCAACTGATGATATTGCTATAAAGGGAAATCTGGACCACCATTGCAAAAACTTGGCAATTTTTAATCCTTGAATCAGGTGCTGCTACTTTGGTGCTTGTTTTGCCCTTTTCACACATTCATTTCCCCAGCTGCTGGTTTCTTGTCATCATAATACTATCATATCCCAGTTTTGTGAAATCAATCAACAACATACAATGATATTGCAAGCATTAATGGTCAAAACTGCACACTTGTTCAAAATAATTATGTTGATCATTGGTTTGATGTTAAATATGTTGTTTTGGATGCATGATTTTGAAAAGTGGTAACCTTTCTTATTGTGAGATGTAGCGAGATGTTTACCTCAAGTTATGAAATTAGCACAACCTGGGTTACTGGTGTGTCATATCTGCTTTAGGTGGGACGGTACAGGTTCTGGTGGCTGTGAGTGAAAATGGAATTTTCATTATTATTTTGCATTTTGAACCACTATAGTTTTGTAGTTTTGAAATTGAAAGGAGTGCCTCCATGTATGCATTGGGTCTTGAGCTGAAATAGCCATTTTGAACATCATTCGGTGCAGGTCACCAAGGGCATCCATGTCACCATGACAACACATAAATCCTGCCATTCCACAAGTCATGCAGAGATGAAGGCCAATAAAATATAATTGTTTGAGACCTTCACATCAGGCTATGATATCTTCTATTGTGAGCATGATTTCCAAGATGTTGACAGCATTTTCACTACATGGAGAAATTGTGTCATGTAGAACAGCATTTTTGACTTAAAAGCATGCCAACAGGTATAAGTGAGCCTAATTCATAATATCTGAGCCTTGCCTCAGTATCTTTAAATGTAGAACATTCCCTTGAAGGGATAAATAGCATACATTTTTTAGCATGTGGCCATTTTGATCTGCAGAGGCCTGCTATATCCAGCCCACAATGCAGCCAAAAGCCTGTAGGTTAGTTCAGGTTAGATGGCGGTAAGTTGAAAAGTTGTGTCTCTTAACTCTAGACTCCCTCAACTTCCTCTAGGCTCTACACCCTCAAGCATCATATAGTGACTGGTTATGCAATAGTCCTCTCTTGGCAGTTGCCACTACCACTTGACACCATCAGACAGTAAACTGTTTTACAAGCAGCAAGGGGGCTAATTGCAATACCATGACTGGATGTAGTTATGTTTAATACTATATCAGTCTGATCAGACAGCTTAGAATCCCTTGTACTTATGCCACAGAAAAAGCAAAAGGGCTAATTGCAATATCATGACTGGATGCAGTTAGGCTTAATACTGCATCAGTCTGATCAGACTGTTTAGACTGCCCTTGTACTTACGCCACGGATGTTCCAGTACCCAAGTTCCATAATGAGCTTTTGGTGCAATCACTAGATGTGATGTCTGTTCAGAAGACCTTGAATAACAACCGGAGTGAGGTATGATGCCTGAAAAGGAAAGCATTGTTGAGATGTTAACTGAGAGCAACAGCAAAAGCAACAATATGCTGGGAGTCAGGACACCAGCCTGTGACAAAGTGATGACTGAATGATGCCATCCAAACCTACCTGCACACAAAAACTCACAAACAATTGAGAAATGAAAAACACAATTGGAATCAATTTTGCATGATGCAATGCCACAGGGCTTTTGTTAGATCTTCCCCAAGAGGTGGATGGAAAAGGCCACATTTAAAAAGGTTGAAGCCTAGGAAAAACTGATGTCCATGCTGCCCTGCCGCCAATTCCTGTGTCTGTTCATCAAATTCACACACATGGTAAAGCAGATGACAAAAGCAAGAAATTGCACACATGCAACTCTTTCTGGGGCCCCAGTTGGGAAAAGCATGCATTACCATGGGATGGACCCAATGAGGCAGCACTATAGTGCCTTAACTGGAACACTCAGTATGGCATAAGTTCCAGAGGCAAAAGTTTGGGGGTGCCACACATCTGAGTCAGCTGGAAATTCCTCTAGTCTGGATGAAATACCATCCGGCACTGGCATTGTAGTGCAGTTAGGTTGGTGGTTCTTTGCAGCCTCTATGACAGTCTTCATTTTCTGGAAGCACTCTATTTTCCTTAACTGCAACATTCAATTCTCACAAGGTGTGACACATTTCAAAAGGCAGGATGAATGTGGAGGTTTGGATTTGGAGAAAGCAGCTAGTTACCAACTTTGGGAGAAATTAACATTGACACTGTGGCAGTGCATGGAAATAAGGTACTTAACAGGACTTTGTCTCCAAAATGAAGGCTATGTTATCAATGGTTCATCTGTGGTTTCATCAGTCCTAGTGAATCTAATGACTCAAAAAGTAGGTGGCTAATTGATATAATGTGACTTGAATGGATAGCACTGTATCCATCTCAGGGATTATCCAATCTGGTGTGGTTGAAAAATGGCTCATTCAACACACAGGATACAAGCTCATAAGATATTGCACAATCTCATACCGAAATTATACTGATGAGCGAATTTGCGGGTGTGCGGTTGCCAGCGGCGATGGATCACCGTTGTCGGATGCCAATAACCAAACGCCACTCAGCGAAATCACAAAAATCGTGAATCAAGTCACCACATCTAAACAACGCACGAATGTCCCAACCCCGCCGGTCTGTCCATACAACACCCACCTGCCCCGCAAACTCGGCGCGAACTGGTGGTCGTTATTTTTTTAACAAGTCACGAGAGCGCGCTCATTGGCCGTGCGGCTAACGACTAACGCCATAAGCGTTTGGACTAGTCCATTTTGCACACATGGGAAAGGTGAGGAAGCGAAGTCTTGCTGGCGTTTGGTTGGCCGTTTGACGTTTACAGGCCGATGGGGAACCATTTGCGGCGCTTCAATTTAGCGTCGGGATTCTTAACGCATTCAGATAGGGGTCAATTCTACCTGGCACAGGCTTTTCCGAAATAATTTCCGAACGCCGTGGCGAAGCCGCGCCAAATTTTGCAAAGCTGTAGACCAGTGAATAGTGGATCGTTTGGCATCAAAAATTTAGATGTGCGTTGTCGGGTCGATGATCTGAAGCAGGTCGAAGCAGACCATGGATTGAGCGAAGACAATTTGTAGGGAATCGTTTAATACAAA